GGGATAAGAACCATCTAACCAACAAGAAGCCAATACTTGAAATTATGAGTTAAGATAAAATTCCCATTCTTTGGATTGAAACCAAGCAAGCAGAGATATTATACCTCTTGAGAGAACCAAACTTCAAATGTATTAAGTCTTCACAAAAATTGAGGAGAGTAACGGCTATATATGGGTGAATTCCAGATTACAAACAAAATATGTAATCATAATAACCTGCACACAAAACAAACAAATAACCCAATATCTTGAGGTAAACCTCAAGAACTCCAGATAAAATATCAATTAAGGTCACAAGGTCTCTAACATAGGCCAAGGTTTCTAATCCTAAGTCCAAGAAGTCCAATACTCCATAATACCAAGGATAGTAACCAAATAGTCCAAGTATCATTAAAGTTTTTTTTTATAGTTTATGTTGATTATTAGGTATCTTCAAAAAGGAAAGATGAGCTCAAGTGAGCAAAAAATAAAAATGACAAGAAAGTAAATGCTCAAATGAGCAAAGATGAAAATAGTATGAAATGTAAATGCTAAAAGTAAATGGTGCATAAAATAAAAGGGCATATAATAAAAACACAAGATAAAGTCAATTATTAGTAATTAGTGGTTAGTTGGATGACCATCTTGAAACTTGCATTTGGAACTCATTAGAGGATTGGTAGAACCAAAACCTCCACACAACAAGTTGCATTTGCTTTTTATCAAGTATATCATCCATTTGGAATTCTCACAAGTACCATTTAATGATCAACGATGTTTAAGTGATCCACGTTGACCAAAAGTGATGTAGATCCATTAGAGGATTGGTAGAACCAAAGCCTCCACACAATAAATCTCAAGGTTATTGGATCAAAGAGATCAAATTAACATACTTTGGCTTGCAAATATAGGTTTGGGCCACGAATGATCATTTATTCGAATCGGGACAAAACTTAGCGCTATGTTAAGCAATTGTAAGTGGACTTATATAGAAGTCGCACCTATTTTGAGGCTGGTCAATAGCAATCTATGTACCATTTGGTTTGAGACATGATATAGAGATCGTGCTCCAATAACATTTAGTGAAATAAGAAAGGGATGAGATGAAGAAGGGTGGAGGAAAATATACAAACCACATTTGAATTAAATTTTAATCAAACTATTATTAAAATCATTCATCTATTTTTGGGCAGTTAAACTCAACACCAGGGATTCAACGATGTTAACAAAGTTCATGATAAAAAAGTCAACCCAATATCACCCAGAAAATAATCACAAAATAATAATACATTTATTATATACATCAAAAAGGGTTTTAAAATGTTTTATAATAAAAAATAAAAGATAAAAATATCAATCATGTTCAAATTAATCAATAAATAATAAGTAAGACCATAGAAAAATCAGAGATGAACACAAATATTTTTGTAAAATTTTTGGTAATATTTTTAAAGTCAGAAACTATTTTTAAACTAATTAAAATTGCTCAAACAAATAGAAAATAGATAAAAAATAGTAAACATCAATATAAAATTCCATAAAATTTTCAAAAAGTCAGAAATATGTAAAATGATATTTATGAAATTTTTTAGAATTAAAAAATGTCAGAAAATATTTTTAAAGTAATTAAAAGGAAGCAAATAATGCAAAAAGTATAAAAAATATCCAAAGTCAAAATAAAAATGTGAAAAAATAGTCATGAGATCAGAAATAATTCAAAGTATTTTTGTGAATTTTTTCATAATTTTTTGGATAAAAAATAAAAGAGTTATGAATTTTTGAAAATTAAATCAGTTAAAATATAAAATCTGAAAATAAAATAAAACCAAAAAGATGTGGGCCATCAAATCATAGTCAAAACGCGTTAGTAAGTTGATCCAATGGACCAGACGCACTGTGCTTGATATGGATCTTAGAGAGATACGCATATGATTAGAAAAAGGCAACTAATGAAATTAAAACGTTTGGCACGCCATCATTGGCTGAGACGAGACATCTCATCATCTTCAACCTCCAGACACCCTGCAATGGAGATTTTGTGAGATCCTTCAAATGGAAAAATTAGGATCCCAGACTAGTATCATTGGATTCGTCTCTTCAAGACGATCCTAACACCACCACCGCACCAAATTTATATAAGGTATGCAAAGAGATATGAATTAAAAACCCAGAAAATAGCGAGCACCTTCAATTTGAGATTTCTCTCTCAATTCTCAATGGATTTAAAAATTGTAAGGAGCACAAGAATAAGGAGAAAGAGTAGAATAGGTTAGTGCTTTATTTGGATCTAAATGGTGGAGAATTCTACCTTTTTGAAGTTCATGAAAGAAGCTCTGAAACTGGACTTCCGTAGCTTGAATTATGGCTCGTTTTGCTTGGTTTAAGTGCTGGAGAGTTTGTATGATGCTGAAGGATGATGAATGTGAAAAGGATTTTGGAAGAAAAGGTTTGAATCTCAGAAACTGATTTCAAAAATTTGAAGTTCGTGTGAGGTTTTGACAGAGTGTATTTGGCTCTCAAAGCTTGAGGAAATGAATGGGGGATGACCCTCTATTTATAGGGAATCAGATGGAATGTTCAAGCGTGTGAAATGATGAAGTTTGGGGGGAAATCGTGTGAACCTGATACACGAGCAAGGTGTGATCTATTTTGCATCAAAACTCATCCAATCCTTGCGTTTTAAGGCTCTAATCCACTTTGGCAACTTGGTTAAACATGTTTAGATCACAAACGCGTGCTAATTTAATGTTTAGAAGCCAAAACATGAATTTCAAATTCTGACTTATGAAGAAACTTCAGTTCCAAGTTACCAAGTTCAACTCAATGACATTCCCAGCTCAAGGGGTCTTAAGGCATGATTTTTGATGCTTAAGAAAGATGAGATTACAAGCTTTGCAATGGAAAAAGAATGGAATCAAATGGATGTTTGAGCTGAAAGTTGCAATGAGTCAAAGTTGGGGGAAAAGGGTTGACTTTCCATACTTAGAAATATTTCAAATTTTTCTTCAAAAGTGACCTATAATATTTTGCATCCAAACATGGCCTTCCACTTGGAATTTGCTCTTGTCCAAAAAAGATGGCATGAAATAGACCTATTGAATGACATTTTGAGACTTGACACATTTAAAATCTCCAAAAATTGAGAGAGTTATGAATTTTTGAAGTTGGCAAAAAATCATGAAATGACGTATAATCTTTTGTATCCTTAGGGAATCTTCCATCCATTTTCTCACTTTGCATATAAAAGAAGGTATACAGTTCATATCCTCGAGATCAATTTGGTAAAAGAGTAGGCTCAAGGTGATAAAAATTGACTAAGTTATGATCATTTGAAGTCACACATGAGAAATTGGGGGTTCATTTAGAGGACTTGTAATCTTTCTTCAACATCAAGTTTCTTCCACATGAAAACTCCTTGAAACTTTCGAAGTGATTTGTTGATAAACCTTTGAAGAGAAAGGTGTATTTGGAATCACTCAAAAATACCAAAAGATGAGCAAGATATACTTCTTTGAAGTTCAAAACCCTAGCTCCTATATCAAGAAAATGCTTTGAGAAACTTTGACAATTTTGAACAAACTTCTTGTACGAACACTTTTGCTTTGTAGATAGAATTTGTTGAGGATGATAATGAGAACTCATAGCAACCAAAACCACTTCCATATCTTGAGAATTGAGAGAAATGTGCACTTGTGACCAATGGAAACAAGACCTTGTTCAATCATGACAACTTCTTCAATCAAGCCCTTGTACTTTTGAATCAATCTTGATAACTTTGAAATATGGTGAACCAAAATGAACCTTGCCATGCCATTTCTTCCAAAATAACTTCAATGGCGAGGTTTGAATTTCTCAAGTTTTAATGACTAGGGCATGGAAATAAACTCATGAACCTATGAATCAACTTGCTAAGCCACATTGCTTTTACCTACATTATTAACAAGTAAGACAAACCAAAATTGTATTTTGTTAATTAGAAAGAAAGTCAAAACAAAACATGCATAATCACAAAAGAAAAATAAGTCAAGGTGCTTAGTGATCTCTCAAAGAGCAAAGCTAGAGATAAGGAGGAGAACCAAAAGCCATAATGTGATCTTGTTGTGATTGAATCAACATGGTATGATGAAGGGATCTTAGGGTTAAAAATTGGGTTACAACAGACGCATGCATACATTTTTTGGAAGCCACCCATTTCTCTCAGACGTTGGTACTTTGAGTTTTCTCCTTACAATGTTATAAATGCGACCATTAAAACTTAATGTAAATTCTGTTTAAATAGACAAATAAAGACAATTGCTATTTAACACTCTACTACTCGTAGCTTGCCACATATCAACTGCATGCCAAACAGCTTTTGACAACCTCCCTCACGATTTGACAACTGCTAATAGAAAATCGCCCTTGCTAATTGTCCCTCTCTTCGATTATACTTTCAACATTTTTAATACTAAATTTGACTAAGGGTTCATATAATCTTTATGATGCTTCATACTAGTCATCCTGTATGTGTCTTGCATTAATCATCTTTGATATTTCACTTTCCGATTTGATCGTCGATCTTGTTCTCTAATCTCGACGAACATCCTCTTAAAAATCATAGTCGAAAATTCTCAGCTAACAGAAATAAATGTCAACTAAGTCTAAGAATGACATTTTAAGCAATTTAAAAAAATCCATGTAATTTTCTCAAATTTATATTAATTAATTTAAAAATAAAAAATAAAATTTGAAATCAATTTCAGCTTTTATAGTATGGGTACTCGGATATACCTTAAGCTTTAAGCTACTAACAAAACTTACGCATCCAAAATAGATAGAGCCACGTGGCATATGAATGAATGCGAAAATCAAACTGACAGAGATTTGGATTGGGAATGAGATGAGGTTCCGAAACAACCATACGGCACACAACAATTCTTCCTTATTTGAAAAACCAGACAAAATCAGCATTTATTTCTTCCTTCACATAATAATCACTTCTCCAATTAATCAATTAATCAATTAATTCCCCTTCCAATTCCATGACCATGTCCACCACTTTGTTACTAGAACCATGCCCCTTCCATTTCAAATGGAAGAATCAAATCGCTTTTTCAAATAATCGCGTTCACATACTGAAATGGAAGAATCAAATCGCTTTTTCAAATAATCGCGTTCACATACCTAACTCATTCACACCAATCAAATCTCACTTAAACCACAAAAGCCCGTTCTCAATAAGTTCAAATCCTAATCCCAATCCCAATCCCAAATCCAAAACGGCGTTTGAGTCTCTCGTCACCTCCATATGGAACACCATTCGAAAACCCGCGGTCGCCGCGATATTAATCGGTGTTTTGTTAATGCTCGATCCAAACACGGCCTTAGCAGCGTCCGGTGGTAGAATGGGAGGAAGATCTTTCTCTTCTTCGTCATCTTCGTCGTCTTCGTCCAGAAGCTATTCGGTTCCATCGCCGAGCCCTGGGTTTTCTTACTCTACTCCGTTTAGCGGTGGGGTTTACTATGGGCCTGCGGTTGGAGTTGGAGTTGGACTTGGTGCTGGTGCTGGCTCTAGTTTCTTTCTTATACTTGTGGGGTTTGCAGCTTTTGTTTTGGTTTCGGGGGTTCTTTCTGATCGTTCTGAGGGTAGTGTGCTTACTGCTGCTGGAAAAACCACCGTTCTCAAACTTCAGGTTTTGTCTACTTTGGATGATTATTACTCTGTTTTCTTCGTTTGTTGCTTCCTGCATGGATTGTTTTTCCATGCTTAGTGTATTTGTGTTGTTATTGTTATTTTTGCGATTTGAACTTTTAAAAGTATGTTCTTTTCATGTACCATTAGACTAGTATGTATACTTTTCACTTAATTTTGCATACAATGTTGGCTTATATTTCCTAATTATTCAATATTTATCTATGTAGACAAAAGCCGTTTTGCATTGCCAATATTTGTTGCTTTTATTTGGGTTTAGAAAGTTTGTGTCTTGTTAGCTAGCTACTAGCACTACTCTGGTCAATGTGAGATTATTTATTGAGGAATGCTACAACAAATGGATCAATCACAAAAAGTGTGCTGATAAGTGTTTGTTAGGATCAGAACTTTGGGCTCATATGACTCTTATTTCCCAAGATATATGGCAGGAAAGTAAGAGAGGGAAGAATAGAATGCTGATGTAGAAGAGGGTGAGGATAGTGTGTTACCTAACTTATGTGAGTTAGTTATATAGAGGCTGAGGGGTGAGAGGAAGAGTATCTTAGAGAATCATTGAGTTAGTTATTATGGACAGAGAGAATTGTTCTCCGTAAGAGCTTGGCTCTGGGGGCATTAGAATAATCATTTTTTTTGCAGTTATTTTTCATATACAGAAATAATACACAAATGTTCCAGTATTTGTGCATTTTACTCTATTTCTTCTATATTCTATTCTGTGAGTTGCGGTGACTCGGCTAGGCAACAGCGTTGGCCTTATGAATACTTTGGTTTGGATACAATTTTTCTTGCATCGAGCTGTTAAGATTAGGAGTGTTTGTATATAATTACGTGCTTTATAAGAATACTTTGATTTAGAAGGTTGCAGTAATCAGATTTAATGTTTGGTTGTTGGGGTTGATGTTGGCAAGTACTATCATTAGGCAGATGGGATTGAAAGGACCATAGCATGTGCTGCATTTATTTTATGCTCATGGGCCATGGCAGACATTAAAGGAAAGAAACAAGGCATTTTTTACTTCTAAACAAAACAGATTGACTTTCTCCGTTGCATGCACTATGCAATGTTGCTTGCAGGACCATACGATTACAATTTTTTGGGGCCTATCCATGCTGGGTTGCAAGCAAGATCACATTTTGGTGAGATTAGTGTAGGATCGTCAATCATGCTCGGGCAATCCAGAAAGGCCCAAGTTTTGAATCCAATTTCACGATCAAGTTTGAAGGGTCCTTATTTCTCCTCTCAGTCTCATGATCTGTCTTTGACTCTCCACAAGTTCCTTGCCGTCTTTAGACATTATTTTCCATATATTTGTAGTGTTGTTTGGGAGTTATTCAGTAGTGACTGGCAGAGACATCCATTGGCCCTGCTGTAGGGTTCAGTGGAGTTGCAGGCTCCAATTTCTTACTCATCTCAGTCGGCTTCGTAGCATTTATTTAGGCTTCTAAGTTTCTTTCAGATCGGTGTGGATAAAACTACTCGCCGCCAATGAGAAAACCACCACGCTCAAGCTTTACTAATCGTCAAGTTTTTCACTTAAGTAAACTGTTCAAGGCAATTATTGGCACTTGCATTTATAGTTCAGTGAGATGCTCAATCACATGCTCTCCATAAATTTTGTCGGTATTTTTGTTTATCCAAAGTCAGGGAGGGGGGATTAGGCTAGATTGGACTGAGATTTGGTAGACATGGGTCTGTCTAGTGTCACAATGCAAACCTGCCTAAATGCCTATTTTACAACAAGACCTATAAATAATTCATAGGGTAATCACTGAATCGGTTTATAGCCTCAACTCTACATATTGACTAAATTGCTTAAATCTTTAAATAAGTCAATAAGTATATATCATTTTAACACTTAGTAAGCAACTAAATACTATGTACTAATATTATATTGGAGCATTGCTATTTGTTATGAATTATACAAGAAAGAGAAGAATGCATAAAAACAGGATATTTGACCAATCTTATGCTGGCTAAGGCTAACAAAATATGTTGCCACATAGGATTCTTGCATTTCTTGTCAAACTTTTCTTGAAACAATAAGCGTTTTCCATTATATTATTTATATTTACTTTAATAGATTGTCATGTCAAGCCCGAAAGTTTTGTGAATAACCCAAAGTTTGGTATGTTTAGCTAAATAGGCTTTTTAAATGTCTTGGTCTAAATAAGTTCGGGTTAGCCTATGCTTGAGGTAGACTAGGCTAAGAGGACCTTTGACGGATGCCTTGCTTATTTTCATCCTTACCTGAAATCACAGTATTGCTACTTTTAATCTCACTAATGCATACAATATCCATATCAATTTATGAATGAAAGGTTACTGGGTCCAATATTTGTAACTATTTTAATTAGGTTTTGAAGCTTGTTTGTAACATCTTGTTAGCTTCCAATGTACAGCACAATCATTTCATTTTGTTCACTATTTTGAATCTTTGGAATTTCAAATTCTCAACGATTTGTTCTTTTAGGTTGGGTTGTTGGGGATGGGTCGCTCACTTCAAAGGGATCTGAATAGGATTGCAGAAGTTGCAGATACATCATCTCCAGAAGGTTTGAGTTACGTTTTGACAGGTGAAACTCATAAACATGTGATTTTTTAGTCACTTGTCTTTAGTTGTTTCTTTTTTCCTAACTCTGATATTTCTTTAAGATTTACTGAAAATGGTTTAATGCTTTCAGTGTTGTGTAACAAAGGATTATTAATGACAACAAATTATTGCTTTATGATCTAGTGTAAACTATCATGGTTTTTATTGTCAATGGAGTGCAGATGCATGTAGAAAATGATTAGGGTCAAATCTGTTTTTACAGAAATATAGAAAATGTTGAAAAAAATATTTAGGATGAATATTGAATTACTCATGATTGTTATAGTAATTAATATATAGCTAGAAGCAACATGGTTATACGAGCTACATTCTGATTTAATTTGACTTTCTGTTGCAGAGACCACATTAGCTTTGCTTCGGCATCCTGATTACTGTATCTCGGGATATTCGTCGGTAAGTGGTTTTAATGTCTGAGAGCTGTTCATTGGTTTCTTGAGGATACTGCATTAAACGTAGTGCTGTTGGGCTGTGATTATTGTTTTTATTGACTGTTAACAAATTATTAATGCATAGTGTACCAATCCAACTGTATTGCTGGAATAGATGAGGTCTTGTGACACGTCATCTCCACATAAGTATTCTAGATTTTTGCTGAGTTAAAAGAGAAACTTTGAAGTGGCTTGATAGAATTCTATGCTGCAAGTCCCTTTAAGCCAACTCAGTTGGTAGCAATGCAGGGACATCAGATGTAGGGACGCGGGTTCGAACCCGCGACATCCCACTTATTCATCTTAAAGGCGAAATTAAACCAAAAAAGAAAAAAGAATTCAATGCTGCTATAGTTTTTGTACCTTTTTGTTTTTGAGAAAAATTCAAGCTTAATGTTGTAAGAGTAGTATTTGCTGTCCTAAAAGGTACTCCATCAGTTTCCTTTTTAATTGTCATTTTAACTTTTAAGGTTATTTACACACTAAAAAACTAATAATTTATATTTTCTTTTTTTACTTTTGATGGAATTATGTTTTTTATTATGAAAATACCCTTAACCATTTATATGTCACTCATCTTATAGCTCTCTCTGCACTAAATACTTCAGAATATTATTGACAAAACAATAATCAATGTTGCATTGGACTTTGAAAACTACGAATAAAACTAATAATTTTTTCTACAAAGAGGGACAAGTAAAAAGAAGTAGAGGGAGCAATGTAATGCTTAACGTTAATAGCTTAATGTTGTAAGAGCAGTATTATCTGTACTAAAACATAGTACATAACTTTAATAGCCTATTTTTTTAATCAACTTTAATAGCCTATTGTTTTAGTAAGAGTAGTGTTTTGTCCTAAAAATTGATACTTAAACTTTTATGTTTGCTGTTCATCATCAGGCAATTTTTTCCAAGGTTGTAATTTAAATTATACTTTATTGTTGCAATAGAAATAAGGATAGCGAGTTTATGGAAAGTTGAAAGCACATATTTCCTGACATTTTGCAGGTGGACATAAAGCGGGGTATAGAAGATGGGGAGAAGCGTTTTAATCAACTTTCAATTGAAGAGAGAGGAAAGTTTGATGAAGAAACACTGGTCAATGTTAACAACATAAAGAGGCAAAGCACGAGAAGCCAAAGATCTAATGGGTTCAGCAATGAATACATAGTGGTATCATAACTTTCTTGGTGCTTGTTTTCAACACGATTTATTCCTGTGTGCACTGTAGATTTATAACTTAAAAACAACTTTGGAATTAGAAAGACATTTGGAAATCATATATTAGAACAATTAACCTGTTCTAGACATGAAATTAGGCTTACGAACAACCGTCTTAGGTACCTCTTGCCGGTTCAACATCCAGGTTTTGTATCCCTATTGACATTAATATCTAAAAAAAGAATGTTTTTCTATCCAAAAGAAAAATAATATGTAGTAGAAGATATAGAGAATTGTTTAACTTATTAACTCATTTTTTAAACTTAAATATGTAATTCAAGTATTCTTTATTTTCAATTTCTTTGTCTCTTATCACTTGAAAAAGTGAAGCTCCATACAGACAGTTCACATATCTTTCTTCTAACCCTTTTTGTTCTTATATATCAGATAACAATCTTGGCAGCTGCTGAAGGAGAACATAAACTCCCTAGTATCAATGGAAGTGGAAACTTGAAGGAAGCTTTACAAAAACTCGGATCCATTCCTTCAAGCAAATTATTAGTAAGATCAATAATATTTTGTAAGTCCTCTGTCATATGTAGTTAGTACCTATTTTTAAACGATCGCTATAATGACTCGCAGGCAGTTGAGGTGTTATGGACTCCACAAAATGAGAATGATACTCTCTCAGAACGGGAGTTACTTGAAGATTACCCACTTTTGCGGCCTCTGTAACTGTAATGATATGCTTGCATTCTGCTTCCAGCCTTCCACATATATCACCTGAAATTGGGTTGTGAATTGTGATTGCATAGTTGAGGATTATATGTGATAATACGTTAAAACCAATGATATTATCCTGCTACTCAATCTCCAAGGTTATACAGCTGCGGCCAATATCAGTATGAGACTGTTTTGCCATAAAAGTTGTTAATCATTGTTTCTATTAGTTGTACATATTACCCATTAGGATGTTTTATAAAGAATTTGTACCATATTATAGATAATTATTTTGTCGCCTTAATTTGAAATAGTTCATTCTGTTTTGAAATTTCTCTGTGCGCATCATTGGTATACAAGATAAAATATAATATCAATGCTTTTTTGGGCACGTGTTCATTGAAGCCTGCATCTAGATGGGTGAATTATTAGTTTGATTTCAAATGTTTCTGTAGTGGTTGAGTAAATCATATACTAGCAAATAGCAGTTATATGTTTGGATATGAAGGTTAGGAGGTAAGATGGAAACATATTGCACAACAATTTATGGTGAGAGTACTGCGTGGAGAGCCCCATCAAAACGGGAGAGTTTTTAGAAGAGTCATAATGCTAATTTTTTAGGTTATTTGCTTGTGGGAGAGTTTTTAGAAATCATAATGCTAATTTTTATGTGCTTTTGCTGTTAACTTATGAGCATCCCATGCCTTTCAAGCTGAACTAATTGGGGTCAATGAAGGCCATTGAAGTAGCTCACCATAAAGGTTGGGGGTATCCTTGGATAGAAATTCTAAATTAGTTTGCTTGGCTTTCAAAATTTTTTCATCAAATCCTTGGCAAACTGCTTGCACTAGGCCTCCTCCTTGACTTTAATAAGTCTTTCAGGGTAAGTTGTGGGTGGAATGTTATTAGGAAAGACATTATAAGTAGATTTAGGTCATACTCTTATATTGTTTGGGAATTTCTTTGGTCACACTTATATGGGTGAAAAACACTAAAACTCTAAAATGTCCTTCGAATATGTATATCCGAACGAACTCTTAAAATAATTTTCAAGTGGTTTCGGATATGCATATCCGAAAACCTCTTATTTACACGTTTTAATTATTTAAGCGTGAGATTTAAACATTCAGTGGTATTTCTGGATGTGCATATCTGAAAGCATTTAAAAGGTGTTTCGGATATGCATATCTGAAATCCTGGGTAGAATGTGTGGAATAATTTTTTATAAAACATCAATGTCGGTACCTAATGAATACAACGATTTGATACATAATTCGTTTAAATAATATCAAAAAACTGAAATAGCGAAAACCAAAAATGATACGAACAAATTGTTTGGAAATACCATAAATTAATACATAAATTGTTTAGAAAGTACAAAATGTAAAATGATTACATCGGTAAATATAAAAAAGACAGTCTACCGTGTATGCCTAATCCAAATCTCCTGGCCCCTCCTCTGCCTCTTGTAAGCTGCTGCACTCGATGCCTCTCAAACTATCCTCTCTATGATGGCCACCACCTCAGGACCGTCCCTCTCAATGATCCCTAAGTCCAAAGCCTTATGACCAATCAAATGTATCCCCTGACAGATCGACAAGACATCAATGGCATGGTCATCTTAGATCTGTTGGCTCTTTAAAATTTTCTCATGGGCTGGCCTAGGTGGACGTTCAGAAGCATCTGGTGTCATGACAGTGTGACACTGTGTAGAATCATGTCACATATTTCTCTATACAATACTAACTGCTAGATGTCCGCATCATCTGACACTCCTCTGACACCATATAATTCTCCCAATCTTGGAAGATGCCGTCGAGCTCTCGACTGAAAATGATGTCAGGAGCAGTCTGAAAGGGAGATCTGGGTATGGTTTGCACATAGCTAAACTGTCAGATGCATCACTCCAAAAGATACCTGACTATAGTGTTGGTCTCACATGCAAGCCACACTGAGTATAATGAGATGAAGTCGAATGAGACAATTTCCCTGTGATCCTCAAGAAGTGGCAAGATGATGTCATCATGAGCAATCCGATCAAGATACACCAGGAACAACAGCACAACATGATCCCTATGTGGGGGCTATACCTGGAAGTCCTCGGCATGTCCTCAGTATAATCTGAATCATAATCAAAACCATGAATGCAGTGGAAGTGAGAAATGATCCATCCCTGAAAACGAATAAGAGATATGTAAGAAAAAATTACTAATAGCAAATTAAATGCAATAGTTAAAATGAAAGGTACCGTGAGCAGTGTGCAAGAGCTTGTCAGCTGCCTCGTCGTCCATTTAGAAGCTTCACTCAATTTTTGATATAGATATACCAAACAACTAACCCCCCAGTTCCACTCTCCAACTCTATCCAAATTCATGAAGTACTGGAGATATGCCACATCCACGTATGTTGCCCTTTTATCCACAAAAATGTAGGTGCTAACCAAGAACAAAAAGTAACACCGTAAAGCACACTCGTTGTGGTACTGAACAAATAATTCATTGTCCTCGCTCTCGAAAGCCGTGGCCGCTTCTAAATGCTCGCCATATAGGTCGGCCAAAATGAGAATTTGGCATGAGCCCCATTAGTTGAGTCACATTGTTAAAATGTCTTTTGTTGCACCCTAAAATTTACCATGTTGTTCTTAGAACTTTAAAGGCTTATGTTTCATCATATGCATTCATACATTGTGACAAAATCAAGGTATTTTGGTTCCCAAGTTCCTCTGCAAGCTATGAAAGATGATTGTGTTATCAATCAGTGCAAGAAAGGTCTCGTGCCCTCAATATTTGAGTCACTCAAACTACAAGGGTTTCTCATACCTCACGACATCTAAGTTGTCTTTTTGATTCATTAGAAGTTTGAAATTGCAAGTGTCAGTTTTTGAATCACTATTCTCCTATTCATTCCTTGAGATTAAGATTTTGGTCAGATGAAGTGTTTGATACTTGTGTGGGTCAAATTTATGGAGTAATATAATCTCATTGTTATATGAGATATCGTTGTTCAAAGAATTTCTCATCATATTCCTAAGACTTAGGGTTTTGAGACTAGATCACCATCTCCTAGCACAAAGGACTAAAATTAGGGTTTTTGATTCAATCAGAACATCTCTGACTTCTTGGGCAAGACTTGTTTCCATGCTTCTCTACATGTTCATGAACACTTATGATTGAAGAACTGAACATCAATTTTGATTGGAAGAGGTTCAATTGATCAATTGGGGGTAAAACAATCATCTGAGCAAAAGTCAACTGTTGACTAAGTGGACTTGTGGTCAAAGTTGAGGTCAATGATCATGTTTCAATATCACGTTTCCTATGGTTAAATAAATTTAAGATAAAGCTTGATTTTGAAGTTAACTTGTTCATGAAGATATCTTGATGAAAATTGAAAATTTGCCAAGTATGGAAACTCATAAGGTTGAATTTCAAAAATCTATAACTTCTTCATCTTTTGTTGAAAAATTGCAAACTTTGCATGGTTGGAAAGAGGAAGAAAAGTTCTTCAACTTTGTCATTGTAATTCCATGTCCAAAAAATGATTATTTTGAGAGTTATATGGCTTAGAAATTTTTTGACACTTGTAAAAATTCCAAGTCATGTGCATAAAATGAGATTTCCTCATGGCCGTTTTTAGGGTTTCATTTGGACTCAATTAAAAAATTTCCAAACATGAAAGATGAAGTTTAGAACTTATTCTTCAACTTTGATTCAAGGATCGTCTCATTCGGTTCAATATATATATATATATATATATATATATATATATATATATATATATATATATATATATATATATATATATATATATATATATATATATATATATATATATATATATATAATGCTTAGATTTTCTAGAATTTTATCAAATAATTGGTGGAAACATGTTCATAGCCACTTGTCTTGTCGAAACACTCATCATTTTTAAAAATGATCAACATCAAAAATGAAATTTGAACTTCCCTCTTCAACTTTGATTCAAACTTTGTTCCATTTAGATCACTATGGAGAGAGTTATTGAGTTTAGAATCGGGAGGGTTGAAGTTGCTAAGTTTTACCAGCATGATAAGGCCCGCGCGCACAAGAGGCTTGCCTTTGCCCAGTCAGTCTAATTCTCATCATTTCATTCCAACTTTTCAATACTTTACAAGCTTTATTTCCAATGTTCATTAACATCATTATTAAATCTCATCATATCAGCTTTCCAGTGTGATCAAAATCATGCCAATAGATCAATAATTGATTGAGTTATAGAGAGGAAAGCATGGATGACTCGTTTGTTTTGGTTGGCATGGAATTGTATCAGTTCTGGAACATTCCATATGGATTGCTTGCAACATGCCCTTGAAGCCTCATTACCACAACCACCTAACCTTTTTCCTTTGCCTCATTTAGCCAAGCAATTCTATGTTGTACATGCATGCGTGATTATCTTCTTTTTTTTTGCCAAAAATGGCAATATTACCTCCACTCAAATGTCACCCCATGTGCACATGTATGCCAGCTCACTTTCTCACACCTTTCGCATTATATCACACTTGGTTCAAAATGCAACAAAGGGCTGTCAAAAGAAGAATGAAATGCAAGGCATTATGCTCACCCTCTCAATTTGTCAAGTCTTCCTCTTTTGCCCCCAACGGTCTCAAATCTCACAATTACCTCACTACCCCCACTCTCTCACTCTTTATAAGCGCTCTATATGCTTCATTGTGGATCACGTATCCCTCATTGAGCACAAGCCATATCTGAAGATTTTTCATTTTTCTCTCCCAAGTTCTCTTCGAGCAGCTTGAATACATTGCTCCAGCTCTCAATTCTTCTTCATTTTCTTCATCATTGAAGCTTGTAGATCAAGACCATCGGGTTTCTGAAGATTTGTAGCTCCAGAATTGTGAATTTATTTTTCACATTCGAGGTAAGTTTCCATGGAACTTGAATCTCTCATGGTAGCTTAAACTATTGCATATAATATTGTTCATGAGCATATAGCTGGCCAAACAATATATTTGATGT